AGTGGCACTGTGGCTCAAGCAGTAGAGAGATTGCCTTGAGCTGAAGAGCGCAGGGACAGCGCCCAAGCCCAGAGTTAAAGACCCATGACCACCACCACCAACAAAAAAAGACACTGAGTTTTCACATCACCCCAGTTAGAATGGCCATCACCAAGAAAACAAAGAATAACAAACTTTGGCAAAGATGAGGCCAAAAGGGAATTCTAATACATTTTTGGTGAGGATGTAAACTTGCTTAACTGCTCTAGAAAGCAGTATGGAAGGTTCTCAAAAAATTAAACATAGAACTACCCTATGATCCAGCAATTCCACTCCTGAGCATTTATCCAATGGAACACAAACCAATTCCAATAAAAGCCACAGCACAACCATCTTCTTTGCAACACTATTCATCATAGCCAGTGTACATAATCAGCCCAAGATACATTTTTAGGTAAAGCATTTAAGGAAAAATATAACTTGGTGATCTGAAAGATGAAAAATGTGATCATTCCCTTCAAGTACCACTGTGCTCAATATTTAAGCTATATATTTGGCTGAAAGATCTGTATCAGAGAGGAAAAAAGGAAAATCATTGGGTTACCCTATGTTCCTTTTCTTACCTCTCAAAGTGAAGAGAATTCCCTCAAACTAAAGCTTGGTCTGAGAGCAAAGAGTATGTAATCCAATTTAGTTGTCATTTACCTACTGAATGCCAGTCCCTCTGCAGTGCTCCCAATCTTCTGAGAGAGATGGTTATGCCCATAAACTGTCCTGTAGAAAATAGTCTTGATCATGATAGATATTCTACCCTCCACTGACCCCATGAGGACAGCTCTTGGTCAGGGGACAATGTGGAGGGCAGGATGTCTAGATGTCAAAAGGCAGAGAAGACATCAAAATCGAGTTTTCCACTTGAATTTACATAACAGAAAGTCATCTGAAGAGATAACAAATCTACTTTGAATGACTACTAGTTATCAGATGTTATTCATTCATTTCACGTTAACAACTCTGTGGAAGAAGATAGAGACACTAAGTGGTGCTGGAAAGTGGTAAAGTCAGGATTCCATCTCAGGATTGTACATCATTCCTGATGTAACACTTGTTCATTCAAATCCTGAATGAGAAAGAGAACATGAGGTGACCTTCTGGCTGAGAGTTATAGAGATAATATGATCCTGAGATTTTAGCATCTGATGATCTGACTTACCTGGGAATAGAAGTTGAAGCACTCAGGTGAGGGTGTGGGTAACACTGATTTCCCTGTCATTTCCATTTGTTCGCATTTTACTTGAGCTTTTTGGGCTGGTACTGGTCCAGTCAACTCAAAAGCAATTGTAATATGTCCATTTTGTGAACAGATGACCTGTCATCTCTCTCCACTTCCCTCCTTTTCAACCTCTCTACTCATTGTTATTTTAAATACTCTTCAAAATGTGTCATGCTCTCCTAAATCTCCAGCTTACTGCATATGCTTTAACTTTCTCTCTCTCTCTCTCTCCCTCTCTCCCCCTCTCTCATTTTTTTTTGTGCCAGTCTTGGCCTTGAAATCAGGCTTGGATACTGTCTTGGAGCTCAAAGATAAAGCTCTACCACATGAGCCAGAGTGCCACTTTGGTCTTCTTTGTGGTTAATTGGAAATAAGAGTCTCACAGACTTTCCTGCCTGGGCTGACTTTGAACCTTAATCCTCACATCTCAATCTCCTGGATAGCTAGGATTACAGGCGTGAGCCACTGGTGCCTAGCACATGCTGTAATTTTTTTTTTTGGTCATAGGACTTGAACTCAGGGCCTGGGCACTGTCCCTGAGATTTTTGCTCAAGGCTAGTACTCTACTATTTTGAGCCACAGCACTATGTCCAGTTTTCTGGTGGTTAATTGGAGGTAAGAGTCACATGGACTTTCCTGCCTGGGCTGGCTTTGAACCTCAAGCCTCAGATCTCAGCCTCCTGAGTAGTTAGGATTACAGGCATGAGCCATGGGTGCCTGGCACATGGTATAACTTTTAAGACTCAGTTTAAATTTTACCTCTACCTAGAAGTCTTCCTTGAGTTATTTTTCTTTTTTTTAATTTAATTTAATTTTATTTGTGAACATACTGTACAGAGGGGTTACAATTACATGGGCAGGATAATGCGTACATTTCTTACCAAGCATTGCATCCTCCTCCTTTGTTTACCCTTCACATCCCTTCCCAGCCCCTTGAGTTATTTTTCTTTCCCCACTACCCATGAACAAGACACTCCTCTCTTTTCTCCCATAAAACCCTGTACACATGTACCTTGAAGCATTATACTTTCATATCCTGAGTTTATTGGTATGTGGTTCTTTACCCATAGTTGTATCTCAGGAGCCTTGTACAGTACTCAATAATAAGCATTTATAGGATGGTCAAAATGAATAACTACTCAGTGTCTAGTACAGTCCTGAGGATTGGATTTCTAAAGATGGCATGGACTCTTCCTTCAGTCTGGAGGAAATTGATATATAATGATTGGAGCCGGGGCTGGGAAGGTGGCTCAGTGGTAGAGCGCTTGCCTTGCATGCATGAGGCCCTGGGTTTGATTCCTCAGCACCACATAAGCAGAAAAAA